AAGATGAAGTGACTTTGCTGTCACCTGGTGTCTTATTTTGGCTTATTTTAGAATGCTCTAAATTACAGTTTTTCCCATCCATTCATTTCTATGGGTGCCCATTTCTGACCTAAATACAACATTAAGGAGTTTTTTTTTTCCACCCACTTAACATTGTAGAATTGAGTCAAAAAAAATAGTGTGTGTTCAGGAGGCAAACTTAGAAAAAGTAGCCAAGTCTTGTACCGCTCAGATCAAGGGAAATATTTTTTTTTTTAAATAAATCAAAACTATTTTGCCCACATTTGTCCAGAATACGGTTTTAGGGTCAAAATATATTTATGTGTACAATTCGTATTATTCTCAATGGTGATTCTCGTTACTGTATCTATAAATAAGCATAAAGGCAGTATAGCAAATGCTACAAGTGTAATTTACTATTATGAGTGATTATTTTTGTAATGACAATTTGGGGGAAAATAAGCCTAACTGTCAGGAAAATAATTTCACAATGCAAAAAAAAAAAAAAAAATGAAATATGTATATTTTTTATATATTAATATGCAAAATATGATTTCTTATTAGTAAAGATTTTTTTGTGATTGTGAGGAAACACAGTGTTCAGACATGTTCTTGGCAGGTCCCATGAGATTTAAATGAATACAAATATTTTCATTAAACCTCTGTCTGTCTATCTCTCTCTAGTGAAGCACAAGCGCATGAGAACCCAGTGTTTTTGGGAGATTCTCCACAACCTAAACCCCGCACTGTATCCCAAATCATGAGGCAGTCATCTGAAACAGGACGCCACCTCCTGTCGGATCCTGGAACTCCACTCTCCCCAAACATCCAAGGGGAACTGTTGTTCTTCCCATCACAGGGTACGACACAAAGACACAAACATGAAACTGTAATCCAATTCCAAAAGCTTGTCACCGTCACACTGGAGACAAGAAACAAGTGGAGCATCACTACACACACATGACCATGGTGCTTAAACATACCCAATCTTAAACAAATTTGCACACACCACACAAACAGAAACTTGAATTTTCATCATCTTGGTAGGCACAACTGTACCCACACGTTTCAATGAAAAATGAACACGCGTGCAAATCTGCACACTACCAGACAAAACACAACTAGAGTCTTGTGTGTGTGTGTAGGCAAACGTTATGAAGTCCAGCTCACTCTCCACACACAGACACACGCCTCCTCTCATTTAACCTTTAACTCAGCGGAATTTACAGAATGTCAATTTCCCCTTTTCTCCCTCATTTCACAACAATCATTTCTGCTTCTCTGATGGCAAGCCGGGTTCTGAGAAACTGAGAACGTGTGTGTGTCTGTGTGTGTGTGTGTGTGCATACGTGTCTACTTTCATGTGTGTGTGTGTTTTTTTTTCATTATACATGACCTACTGGCACAAACAGACAGTTCTGTATTCCTACACAGTTAATGTGAACGTTAAACAAGTTTACAACCCATTTTACTTCCTTAATGTGACTCAATTCAGTGATAATGATATATAAATTGTGGGACTTAATTTAATCCTTAGGGTTTGGAAAAGTAAGCGAAACATATGCCAGCTGGAAAGGAAAGACATATTCGAGCAAGATGTTGTATTTTGATCAAAAAATTTCTAAAACGTTTGAGATTTTAGCATGTTGTATATACGAAGCTCATAGTCTCCCACAAAGGGATTTATTCTAACAGAGTACGTTGCTCCAGACCTGCCTAGAACGCCTCGATCCAAATCCAGATAATACTTCCTCAAACGTCTACGTCACCATGTGAAATATTAGCATAGGCACATGCAGAGAAAAAAGATGAGGCGTCAGTGAATTGTATTGTTATCATCATGTCGTGGAGACGCAGTGTGTTTGGATACGAAAGCAAATTCGCTTTGTTTGGCCTGAAATAAGAAATCAGAGCATACAACTTATTTATAAAGCTGTTCCCAAAAGTTTGCATGTTCACAGTGTATTTAAAGAAGTAATTCACTTTAAAAAAAAAAAAAAAAACTTTTGCTGATAATTTACTCACCCCCATGTCATCCAATATGTCCATGACTTTCTTTCTTCAGTCGAAAAGAAATGAAGGTTTTTGATGAAAACATTCCAGGATTGTTCTCCATATAATGGACTTCAATGGGAACCAAACGGTTCAAGGTCCAAAAGACAGTTTCAGTGCAAATTGTAAACTGTTCAAAGGGCTTTAAACGATTCCAGGCGATGAATAAGGGTCTTATCAAGCGAAACGATCGCTCATTTAAACAATAAATAACAAAGTTTAAGTTTTCTAAGCTCAAATGGTCGCCTTGCTCTGTTCTGTGATGCACGTTCGCGACTCTCCTGTTCGAACTCGTTCATCAAAATGAACAAATCTTTTTCCCAGTCATTTGGTTCATTTCATTCGTTGAATCATCCAAATGACACGTAAAAAGATTCGTTCATTTTGATAAACGAGTTCGAACAGGAGAGTCACGAACGTGCATCACAGATCAGAGCAAGGCGACCATTTGAGCTTATAAAACTTAAACTTTGTTATTTTTTTAAATGAGCGATCGTTTTGCTTGATAAGACCCTTATTCATTGTCTGGAATCATTTAAAGCCCTTTGAACAGTTCGCAGTTTGCACTGAAAGTGTCTTTTGGATCTTGAACCGTTTGGTTCCCATTGAAGTCCATTATATGGAGAAAAATGTTGGAATGTGTTCATCAAAAACCTTAATTTCTTTTCGACTGAAGAAAGAATGACATGGACATCTTGGATGACATGGGGGTGAGTCAATTATCAGTAAAAGTTTTTTTAAAAGTGAAAGTTTTGCAAAAACAACGTAAACATACATTTTGGCGGAGCTAGACACCTTGCCTAGCATTATAAGCAGAGTTTATGGCCCGTCCTCTAATCCTTTTACTTATCTTTTCCAGATCCCATTCCTGAGTCTCCCAATTTACTGGATTAAAAGGCGTCATGTTCACAGAAACACCTAGTGCTTCTTCCTTCTCTTCCACATCATCATGCCTCTTTCTTCCGGTCTTCTGCAAGGATGATAAGGTCCCCCAAAAAATGATAGCGAGACTCAGCTCTTCGCTATTACGATGGGACCCCTTATCTGATGACGCCTGTGTCTGTCTGCTGACTGTCCTTGAACGGGTTTCCAGAGAAGAAAATTACACAAGTTTGGGCACTAGGGAGAGCACGGTCACAGGGAATTCTTAAGACGAGGATCCAAAGATGTCCTCGACTGCCATTTGAGCTGTTTGCACACTTTTTTTTTCGCCCGTGCCTCGTGTATCAGTCACACCGTGGCATCATTTGCACTTAAATGACTATTTTTCATTCGTTCTCTTTTCTCTAATCTGTCTGTTCCTATTCTCGTCTCACATTTCCACTTAATCATTCTGATCATCCGCTCTCTTCTAGAGGTCCGGGATGTGTTTAAACCTCAATCACTCCTGTTTACCCATTCTTGCTCAATACTCAGTGCCAAAGTACTCAGTTATCACTTTACCACTGAAATGGCACCGGTGCTGGTCCCAGATTTGGTGCTCAGCCGGGGAATCTGCAGATCTTAGAAATGGCCGGTTTTAGCCACTTACTTTACGAGCCGAATGACAATGCACATGACCGTTTGTTTCAAAGTTTTAAAACTCATTTTACTTTAGAAACTTTATATATAACGGACCCAGATTGGGACCAGCACTGGCATCGTGTCGGTGGAAAACGGATGTTCTCAGTACACTCACCGTCAGATCTGCTGAGAAACAATGGGCTTTTTAAACCCTTTTATGGTGAGTGTGGTGCTTTTATGACATATGTAGCTTGTAAGATGCATTCTGTCAGAATGAGTGCAGTTTTTTGTGGTAAATGTTGTGCCAGTTAAACACAATGCCACTATCTTTTACATCTCCCACGTCACCTGTGGCTTTAAGGGTCTAAGGGCTCAAAAAATAAGGTTTTCTATCTTTTGTATCGAATTTTTATCTGATGTGTGCGTGTGTGTGTAAGAGAGAGAGAGAGAGAGAGAGTGAGTGTATATTCATTTCCATTAAATAAAAAAAGCAAAGTAAAGAGCTTTTCAGGAAGCTCAAGTTCAAGTTCAAATCCACTGCCAAAGAGAGTGCCAAAACCTTGCTTTGTGTACGAATGAAAGATTTGTTGGTGAATGATTGCAAATCCACATTGTAAATATGCTGATAAATACACCACTTTACCAGTTTGTATATTTGAAGTTGCACACCTTATATGTAGCTTTGACAATGCTGTGACATAACTGCTGATTCCATTTGCTTGTATTTCTTTTTATTAAAATACAAATAAATAAAAAAATCCTGGCGAGAGCTGTGAGTCCTTGTGCTGTGTTTATGCTAGAAATAATCTCTTTAATCACACGAGACGGCACACGGTCTACTGACGGGTGGCAAGACCTCTAAACCATTATGGGAAACTTACCCGACTTCTACTAAAACAAATAGCAGAATCTGTTCAAACAAGAGCATCATTTCTCTCTTTAATTGGAATCATCTGAAAGACAACATATCCCTAAAAACTAGTTTCAATCTGCTGCTTTTGACCAAGTTGATCCAGACACCAGAGGACCAAAAGTCACACTTGCTGAAACCCAGACCGCTATGAGGTTCACAACAGGAATCAACGAGCTCTTAAGAGTGCAACTTCCTGTTTCAAAAATAAGGCAGGTTGTGGTTTCCTGTTTTTGCTGTTTGGTTGTTCAGACTGGCTTTTAAAAAAGCAAGCGTAGTATCTTATGTTTAGAAAGTTGAAAAAAAGAAAAACTGTCAAAATCTGTTTACAAGCAATGATGTCCTGTTGTAAGGGTGGGGTTCATCCATTGGGATCTGACTGGATCATAAAATGTAGGTTATCGTACTATTTTTCCCCACCCATGTGGCTTTGGTAATGTCAGGAAAAAAAGAAGAGTCATTTAGAGATGGAGATTATTTTGATGAAAGATTACAAAGAAAAACAGGCAGCTAACGCACACACACACACACTTACTGATAAAGGTGGCGTGCCATCGTCTTCCACAGTCACGGTGAGTGTGTACTGCTGCTGTTTTTCTCTGTCAGGAGGTGACGGTCGGGTCACTATCTCTCCCGTCATACGGTCTATTCTGAAGGTCAGGTCCTGGTTCCCACCGGTGATGTAGTACGACAGCATGGCGTTGGGTCCGATGTCACGATCCGTCGCTACGACACGCAGGACCGCTGTACCACCCCCTACATTCTAAAACAACACACATTTATATATTCACATATCAACAAAATAGATTACACTGACATGAGTCATTACATTTCTTTCTTTTGCCATCTTTCATGCAAACATTTGGATAATTAACACCCAGAATCCTCTGAGGAGCATCACAGGTTTGAGGTGCTGTGACATCACTGACCTCATTGACGCTGACGTTGTATCCACGAGGGCTCTGCATCACTGGAGGGTTATCGTTTACATCCATAATATTCACAGTGAGCGACACATCTGTGAACCTCGGAGGGGAGCCATTATCCGTCGCCCGCACCTGATCCAAACACACACGGGTATCCATGTGAACGTCAGCAAACAGACACACATATCCCACAGAACGCATTATGCAAAACATACTATATTTAACTGTACAAGGAAACATGTAAAAAGTCACGCAACACTCTGACACCGTCCGGCTTGTCTGAAGGTGTTGTTACTCGGTATTCGGCAGACGTGACTTATTGAAAGATGTCTCTTATGCTCAGAAAGGCTTTTTTGTTTATTTGATAAAAATACAGAAGAAACTGTTATTAAAATGTTAAATAATTGTGTCCTATTTAAATTTAAATTTTATTGCATTGTGAAGGCAAAGATTAACTTTCAGCATTATTATGTCAGTTCTAATGCTGATTTGCTGCTCAAGAAACATTTATTATTTATTCATTTATTTTTTTTTTTTTGTACAAACTGTTACTTTTTCAGGATTAATCTAGAAAAATCAGATTCAGATTATTTTATTTCATGCCACGTCAGCAGTCAGAGCTATTTTCATGGCAAAAATTCATTTACAAAAATACAAACATCATATAAATACAACAAAAACAAAACAAATATAAACAAGAAGTCATATTATACAATATATATTTTTTTTAATATTAACATATGATAAAAAATCCAGAACCTTTTCAGGCATAATCTCATTAAATATGTCTTTCAAAGAAGTAACTTCATAAAAGAGCCTTCTGCTTGCGTTAAGTCCAGGACAATGGAAAGATCAAAACAACAGCATTGATTTAAAATAGAAATCATCTGAAGCACAAAATAAATGTCTTTACTGTCATTTTTGATCAATTTAATGGCAATGCATCCTTGCAGAATAAAAGTATTCATGTCTTCTCCTACCTAAAATCCTACTGACTCCTATTGAAACTTTTGAATGGTAGCCTATATTTCTAATATCACATGCTCGGGAGCATGTGTATGATATAAAGCGAGGTCTATGAAGTCACAACAGTTCGCTAGAGAGCCAAAGCATATGTCCATAATGTCTCTCTCACTTTTAGCAGGTAGCGGTCCACGGCCTCACGGTCCAGACGGGCATTCAAGTAAACCTCTCCATACGTGTTATTGGCTGTGTTGATCTTAAACACGTCCTGCATGTTCCCTGCGATCAAGGTGAAATTGACCTAAAGGAGTGTGATGGAGGCGGGGTTAGGAATGATTGACATCTAATTTCACAGTGTTCTGAGTATGTCCTACTCACCAATCCATTTCTTCCAGCGTCTTTGTCCCGTGCCAACACGACCGCGACTCTCTGGCCAATGGGAGTGTCCTCTGGAATAGCCACCGACAAATCCGAAGTGATGTCAAACTCTGGGCTGTTGTCATTCTCGTCGAGAATGGTGATTGAAACCTTTCAAAAGTACAAAGCAATGGAGCCTGAGATGTTGTTTCTGACAGAATATTAACATTTGTTGCATTAAAACTGATTCGAGGACAAAAATCACCCATTTACCTTCTACAAATGTGCATCAAGAAAGGAATCAGGAAAGAGAAAAGAACAGGTTTAATTAGATGTTTATATAGTACATCAATATTTAACATCACTATCAACACAAGCTTCTGGATACAATCCTGTTTACAGACATGCATTTAAAATGGACTTTAACAAACATGGCCGTATTGTGAGCTTGACCTACAGTGAAGTCATTAGTGAGCTTTTTACCACAGTGGAGTCTCTCTTGGGTCCTCCATCATCGGCCACAACCGTGAGAGTGTATGAATCCCCCTGTTCTCTGTCCAACTGTCCCGTCACAGTAATACGGCCCTGTAGAGCACACACAATGCAAGTAAAGAAATGAACTAAATCTTTTCAGGACTGAATTATATAAGAATAATTTTGACCAAAGTGAGTCAGTCCAGTCAGAAAGGTTTTGACCACTCGATCTATTCATTTTTGCTGTGACAAGCTGGTAAAGGAAACCCATTCTAACTCGTGATGTCATTTTTCCCTACGGTCTAGCTTGATATTATTTTTTTTTTGTTCACCCTGCAAGAAAATGCCCTACTGACCAATAAGATTTAAAATTTAGCGACATTTTCTGCACTGATTTTGGTGGGACAAATCTGAATTGGAGGGATATAAGAAAATCCATGTGTTAATAATCAGACTTGAGACTATTACACTTGTATTGTTAGCTGAGGTTATAATCAAATGAGCCAAAAAATGTATTTTAAACACACAAGGGGAAGAAAATAAGGACATTTCACACCTAAAGAGGCTGTAAAAAGAAGTTAATTTCCATGCATGTAGAAGTTTACGTTTTTCCCTACTGTCTAGCTTGATTTTTTTTTTGTTCATCTTGCAAGAAAATTTTACCGACCAATAAGATTTTAGCTTCAGGGTCATGTGTCCAGATTCAGCATTCCATAAAGACATTGAATGTTTTAATTTCATTGCTCAATTCTAGGTGAAAAAAAAAAAAGTGATTTTCCACATTTTCTGCACCGATTTTGAGGAAAACATTATTTGGAAGGATTTAAGCACAACGAATGTGTTAAAAGGATCTGAAAGTACTAAATTTTTATTGCTAGCTTTGCTAAAAAGAAAACAGCTGAAGCTGCATGATGTATGGTGAGTCATTTGCATGAGTCAAACATTGACCTGCTGACTAGTCAATTAGTTAAAACGAGCAGTTGTTTGAGCCTTATCACATCAAGTGTTATTCTTTTTGAGTAACATCACTCTCAGTAGCGATACTCTACTCGGTTATATGGAGTAGGGTTGCCAACCTTTCCGTATAATACGGAATCGTTCCGTATTTGTCACATAAAAGTCTTGTTCCGTATTGAACTGATACGGAACGCACTTTGTTCCGTATTTTTGAGAATCAGTTCAGTGCAAATCCATGACAGACACATCTTCTAATATATCTCAGACAGACTGTGAATGAAGACCTCACCAGTTGAGCCACTCCAGTCGTGATCGACTAGTTTTACCGCAAATTAGTTAAAATATCCTCTAATCTAGAGCGATCTTGCCTGCAAGCTTGAGCTTCTAACAGCACGGTCGCAAAACCAGGACTGGAGTCAGAGCACATTCCTCTCTGCACTCTTAGCGTTCTGTTATCACTCCGATTTCGTCCACTACGGGTTTTCCAGTCTCACTCACAGGAAAAACTGTTCCACGTTCAACCGATTTTAAAAGATAATCTTATGTTCCCTATCGTAGTCACTTCGAGTTACGTCAGAAGTGACGGAGATTGGGGGTTTCGCATAGAAAGCCAATCCTCTTCGAGTATTAAAACACGAGCCAATGGCATGCAATGCCTTGGGGCTGCGGAATTTTGCATAGCGTACTCCGCCCTACTCCGTGAGTATAAAAGGAGGAAGTGAACGCAACCGCAGTATGTTTTCGCTTCGGAGCCAAGAGAACCTCTTCACTCCTGAAAGCACTGTTCAAGACTCTTCGAGACGAGCGTCCTCTTCAGTGTTGGTGTGACGGCGGTACCCAGCGAGATTCTGCATCGCCTGCGATCTGAGCAGTGGTCTGCCAGACTTTGCGCTTCTCCCTGGTCGCTTCAGCGCTGAAAGAGTGAATTTCCTCCTCTCATTGAAAGAGCTGCACGCGCACGTCTTTTTAAAGACGGTTCGCCCGTGCTCTTCTGGGTGTGATTGATTTCTGTCGTCATCTGATGGTCACGATCGCTGCTTTGTATGCCTGGGCATTTCAGCATGCAGCAGCAGCGTTCGTGGATGACTCATTTTCCTTCTGTGGGAACATGACCATCTCTACACTGAGGTCGAGACTCAATGATCTCACTTGAGTGAGAGTCCCGGTCCCCCCCGCTCGATCGGTTTCCTCCATAGGGGGCCCGTCGACCCGGGGACCTGGTGATTTACGGTGATGGTGTGGGATAAGCCCCGACGATTCCTCGGGCCACACCTCCCGCCTCAGTGCGAGAGCCAGCGAGCGTTAGTTCGATTCAGTCGGTTGCTTCTTCGGTGGCACCGGCTGCTTCGGGCAGCGCTCCAGATGATGATGCGATGTCGATCACAGCATCACTAGGCGGGCTTGACTCCTCGGGAAGTGAGGATGCGGCCGCGTTGCCTCCCTCGGGAGCGTCAGCGCCGCCGTGTCTGATCCCGCGATGATGGCCGTGCTATCTCGGGCGTCCGTGAGCATCGGGTGGGGGTGGAACTCCGCCCCTCCCCGATCTCTCGCGGCTGAATAATTGGTTTTTGGGTAACGCTGCCGCCTTACGGCCACGGCCAACCCCAATTTCCTTTTTTCCCCGAGTTGCATGCGGAACTGACACGCACTAAAAAATAAATAAATAAAAAAAAAAAAAAAAAAAAAAGCGTGCTTAGTTCCCCGCCCTTCCTCCCCTCGGCGATGCGGCTGTCTGTGGGTACGCTGGGGCTCCCCCGGTCAACCGGCGGTTGCTCTCAGATGCCCCTCCAAAGCCTATGGGTTCTCGTCGTCTATGGCGGCGCGATTCTGTAGAGCGGCGGGACAGGCAGCCTCCGCCCTGCATATGATGAGCACCTACAAAGCTAGCTGCTCAGGAATGTGCACGAGGAGGTGACGGACCAAGCGAGCTGCGAGCCTGTCGCCTACCTTGTCCTTAAACGGGTCACGGAGGCGGTCGCTCGCTCCCTTGGTCAGGTGATGCCCACCGCTGTGGTCCAGGAGCATCATAATGTTCGGCGGTGCGGTCCAGGACTTTGCCCAGCACTTCTCGACCGCCTAGGAGCAGACGAAGGCGGTTTCTCTGCCCCGACGGCCAGCTGCTGCCTCCAACCAGCCGTCGGCTCGGACGCCTCCGCCAGCTCGCCGCCGAGGACGCCCCCCTGCGGCTCCCTTCCCTCCCACGCGGCCCCAGCAGCAGCCTTCAGCCGGTTCGCGTCGCGGAGGAGGCCACAGGTAAGCGTCCCAAGAAAAGAGCCCCCCCTCAGGCCGCGTGCCCCGCTAGATGCCAGGCGAAGCGATGTTCCTGAGGCGGGCCGCTCAGTGATAGTGTCATGGTTTTTCTCAGGAGGCGGTGGCAGGGCCCCTCCTTCCCCGGTGGAGGGCCGGTGGAGAATCTTTTGTTCTAGCTAGCTCCCTGAGCTGGTTGAGGAAAAGCTGACACTGTCATTGAGCACACAGACTGGAATGAGCGCGCACGACGTCCAGTGCGTCGCCCCGTTCATTCCTCTCTGTCTCGGAGGGCGCGGAAGGGTGCGTGTGTCGTCCCCGGGCTACGCCAATCCCTTCCCCCTCTGTCGCCAGACCCCCGGCAGAACAGACCCCCGTGGAACGCTCTGCCTTCCCTGGTCTCTTCTGTCGGGGAGCGGGTTTCGACGGTGCATCCGGACGGGGTAACTCCTGCACGCATGCCGGTCGACCCGCCTCGCTGCCCCTCCGGGGGGACGTCTGTGGTTCGCATGACCCCGTTGGCTCACTTCCTGGAAGCCTGGCTAGCGCTTCCCGGGGTTCCCGCTGGGTCATCAGAACGATCGGATTCGGCTACGCGATTCAGTTCGCACGGTCTCTTCCCCGCTTCAGGGGAGTTCGCTCCACGATGGTTGGTGGCAATGCCCCAGTCTTGAGAGCGGAGATTGCGACCCTGCTGGCGAAGGGTGCAATCGAGACGGTCCCTCCAGCCGAGGTGAGGTCCGGGCTTTACAGCCCCTACTTCATTGTCCCCAAGAAAGACCGGTGGGTTACGACCGATCCTGGACCTGCGCATTTTGAACCGTTCTCTCCATCGACTACCGTTCAAAATGCTCACGGCCAAACGCATTTTCGAATGTGTTCGGTATCAGGATTGGTTTGCAGCGATCGACCTGAAGGACGCGTACTTCCATGTCTCCATTCTCCCTCGACACAGACCGTTTCTTCGGTTTGCCTTCGAGGGCCAGGCATACCAGTACGCCGTTCTCCCATTCGGGTTAGCTCTGTCCCCTCGCGTCTTCACGAAGATCGTCGAGGCAGCCCTTGTTCCCCTTCGCGAACACGGGGTTCGCATCCTGAACTATCTCGACGACTGGCTGTTACTAGCACACTCTCGAGCTCAGGTTTGCGAACACAGAGACCTGGTGCTACGGCACCTAGCCCGTCTGGGCCTTCGGGTCAACCGGGAAAAGAGCAAACTTTGCCCCGTGCAGAGGATCTCTTTTCTCGGCATGGAGATAGACTCGGTCGCCATGTCCGCGCAGCTCACGAACGAGCGCGCGCACTCACTGCTGGCTTGTCTTCGACAGTTCGAGGGCAAGAGTGCGGTTCCACTGAAACTTTTCAGAGGCTCCTGGGGCATATGGCATCCGCGGCCGCGGCAACGCCGCTCGGTTTGCTTCATATGAGACCGCTTCAGCTGTGGCTTCGCGATCGAGTCCCGAGGTGGGCATGGCATCGCGGCTCGCTCCGAGTTCCAGTGACTCCGACGTGCCGCCGATCCTTCTTCCCGTGGTCGAACCTCAGCTTTTTACGGACAGGGTCCCTATTCAGCGAGTTTCCAGGCATCTCGTTGTCTCCACGGATGCGTCTACCACGGGTTGGGGTGCCATGTGCAATGGGCATGCAGCCGCCGGTTCCTGGACAGGAGCCCAGCGCCTCATGCACATCAATTGCCTCGAGCTGTTGGCAGTACGGCTCGCCCGGCACCGCTTCCGAGCGTGCTCTAGGGCCAGCATGTGCTTGTCCGCTCAGACAACACTACGGCAGTAGCGTACATCAACCACCAGGGGGGTCTACGCTCGCGCCGGTTGTCGCAGCTCGCCCGCCACCTCTTGATATGGAGTCAGAAGCACCTGAGGTCCCTTCGTGCAGTTACATTCCTGGAGACCGGAATCGGGCAGCCGCGAGCTGTCCCGGGCCCGTCCCATCTCCGGCGAATGGCGACTCCATCCCCAGTCGGTCCAGCTGATTTGGGACCAGTTCGGGGAGGCACAGTTAGACCTGTTCGCCTCTCGGGACTCGTCCCACTGCGCCCAGTTATTCTCTGACCCGCGGCTCTCTCGGCTCGGATGCGCTGGCGCACAGCTGGCCACGGGGCCCACGCAAGTGTGCGTTCCCCCAGTGAGCCTCCTTGCACGGGTGTTGTGCAAGATCAAGGAGGACGAGGAGCAGGTCTTGCTGGTAGCCCCCTACTGGCCCACCAAGACGTGGTTCTCCGAACTCTTGCTCCTCGCGACAGCACCTCCTTGGCCTATTCCTCTGAGACCGGACCTACTCTCTCAGAGACGGGGCACTCTGTGGCACCCTCGTCCCGATCTTGGAGGCTGCACGTGTGGCTCCAGGACGGGACGAGGCAGGTTTGAGTTCGCTGCCACCTGCGGTGGCGGCAACCATCACTTCCGCAAGAGCGTCGTCCACGTGACACCTTTATGCGTTGAAGTGAAACCTCTTCGTCAATTGGTGTTCTTCTCGCTGAGAAGACCCCCGGAGATGTTCGATCGGAGTCATGCTTCCTTCCTGCAAGAGGGGTTGGAGCGCAGGCTGTCGCCCTCCACCCTTTGGATTATGTCGCGGCCATTGCCGCGTCTCATGATGCAGTGAAAGGTAAGTCTATGGGAAGCATGACCTGGTCATCAGGTTCCTGAGGGGAGTGAGGGGGCTAAATCCGCCTCCCTCCCCTCCTGCCCTCTGGGGACCTCTCAGTAGACCTGGGTGCTCTGCAGAGGCCTCCCCTGGAGCCTTTGCAGTCGGTAGAGTTTTTGCCCTGTCCTATGTGACAGCACTCCTGATTGCATTGGTATCCATCAGGAGAGTAAGGGACCTGCACGCACTCTCTGTTGACGAAGTGTGCCTGGAGTTCGGGCCGGCTTACTCTCACGTATTCCTGAGACCCCGGCCTGGATATATGCCCAAGGTTCCTACCACTCCCCTCCGGGACCTGGTGGTGAACCTGCAAGCGCTGCCCCTGGAGGAGGCAGACCCAGCCTTGGCACTGCTCTGTCCGGTACGTGCTCTCCGCACCTATGTCGACAGAACGCAGTGTTTCAGGACCTCAGACCAGCTCTTTGTCTGTCATGGGGGGAGCCAGAAGGGAAGGGCTCTCTCAAAGCAACGGCTGTCCCACTGGATAGTGGATGCCATTGCTTTGTCTTACCAGCAGCAAGGCCTTCCGTGCCCCCTTGGTGTGACGGCCCATTCCACTCGGAGTGTAGCCTCCTCTTGGGCTTTAGCGCACGGCGCCTCGCTAACAGACATCTGCAGAGCTGCAGGCTGGGCGACACCCAACACCTTCGCCAGATTCTATAATCTGCGAATTGAGCCGGTATCCTCTCACGTACTCGTTTCGGCCAGTTCTGGATCCGCTCAGGTGTCTTCGCTTGCTCGCCACTCCACTCCCCGGACTGGATAAGTGCGATATTTCCTCAGTTCTTCCATTGAAGTCTTGAGTCCTCCAGCACCGACGATGCGGGCACCACTGCGTTGCTCTGGATGCTAGCTAGGTGCCTCCATGCGCACGGTTCCCCATGGTAACCGTCTCATGTGTATTATCCACTGTAAGCCTCTCTGAGCATGTGTCTTCCCTTGGCAAGCCATCTGCCACCCCTGGAGTTTAAATCAGTAGCCACCTGCGGTTGGTACTCCAGTGTTCCATATGCGTTCCTATGTGGCCATATGTGTATTCTTAAGTCCTCCCTTCGGTAGGCAGCTGGTAGCATGTCCCCTTCGGGATATGTTCCCAGTGTACCTTGGTAATCCTGTGTCAAAGTCGGATCCCCAAAAAAAAAAAAAAAAAAAAAAAAGAGGTAAGGCTCGGGGGTTCAGTCTTTCGCAGGGCACTGGAAGACAGCTTGAAGATGGCGTGATGGCACAGACCCCCAATCTCCGTCACTTCTGACGTAACTCGAAGTGACTACGATAGGGAACGTCTCGGTTACGTATGTAACCCTCGTTCCCTGAGTAGGGAACGGAGACGTTACGTCTCCCTGCCACTTCTGCTGTATCGCTGGGTAGAGGCCGAGTTCAGTCTTGGCTCCTCAGCGAAGACATACTGCGGTTGCGTTCACTTCCTCCTTTTATACTCACGGAGTAGGGCGGAGTACGCTATGCAAAATTCCGCAGCCCCAAGGCATTGCATGCCATTGGCTCGTGTTTTAATACTCGAAGAGGATTGGCTTTCTATGCGAAACCCCCAATCTCCGTCACTTCTGACGTAACGTCTCCGTTCCCTACTCAGGGAACGAGGGTTACATACGTAACCGAGACGTTTTACTGACTGCTTCCCCGCAAGATTTATTTATTTTTTTTTTTACATTTTAAGGTTAAATGCATCAGATCAGGTCAAAATTAAGAGCTTCAACCCATGAACTGCTCGTTAAACAAAGATAAAGCATTGATTTATTTTGTACTAGGACAATAAAGAGGGCTCAAACATCTTTTTAGTTGTGAAAGTCATACATTACATTATCAATGGTGTTTTCAGATGCCAAACAATTATTATAATAATGTAATAATGATTTATGTAATTGTTCCTATGACGTAAAATCCATATAGCCTATATAGGCTACTATATAAATGAAAATGAATATTTCAAAAGTATATTTTAAACAACATTACACTATAATATAGGAAAATTAAAATACTTTTGTCCTTTTTCTACACTTACAAGAAATAAACCCTTGAGCTTTTATTTAGGAGAAAACAGATAGCCATGCTGATCGGTTGATTAATTCAACTAAAAAATAAATAAATTATAAACTAAATAAATCCATGGTTGATTGTTGGCAAAATGATCATGATAGCCTTCGTGATACCCCCCCCCCCCCACCCCCCGTTCCTTATTTCGAAATCAGTTGGCAACCCTAATATGGAGTTTCCTCACCGTGATGCTGTCGATCTTAAAGAGCGCCAGGGCAGCAGGTGAGGTGTCGGGGTCGAAGCGGTACGTCAGCTGGTTCAGGTTATCAGCCGACTGCGCCTTCACCTGGACCACCTCCGTTCCTGTGGCGATGTTCTCCCTCAGTGATATCTCGTATCCGGCTGATAGAAAGGCTACGGCTTCGTCCAGTTCATTGAGTAAAGTGACGTAAACGGTGCAGTAGCCGCGGTGGAACGGCGCTGACTGATCCGTGGCTGAGACGTTCATTAAATAGCTGGTCTTGGTCTCGTAGTCCAAGTAATCCACTGTGGTCACCAGCCCCGTACTCATATCCACCTCAAACTTACGGTCAGAACCGGAGACCAGAGCGTATGCCACAGCTCCCCCATCCCCTAAAAACAGAGACAGCAAAAAAAAAAAAAATTATTATTAAAAGAAATTAATACTTTTTAGCAAGGATGGATTAAATTGATTAAAAATGACTGTAAAAAAAAACAACAATTATATTGTAACAAAATATTTCTATTTGAAATAAATGCTGTTCTTTTGATCTCTCTATTCATCAAAGAAACCTGAAAAAAGGTTAAGCAAAGACTTCTTTCAATATTGATAATAATAATAAATGTTTCATCATGATTTCTGTGTGACACTGAAGACTGGATTAATAATGCTGAAAATTCAGCTTTGCATCACAGGAATAAATTATTAATTATTTCATAATATACATTGAAATTGAAAACAGATACTTTAATAATATTTCATTTAATTAATAATATTTACAATGTTTTTACTGAGCATTAGTGCACTGTACAAAATATTTTCAAGATTTGTTATCACAACAACTTTTCTTTTGTCAAATCAACTTTATAGTAATTTATTTAGTTGAGATAACCTATTATTTTGAGTTTCTGATGATTCAATTAATCTCATTCATTGTATTAACTCACTTTTTCCAGTTCAATCAACTTAAAATTTTAAGGTAACCCAGGTTACGTACTTTTTTAAGTTAAACCAACAATATTATTTTTACTGTTTAGTAATCACAAAATTTTTTCTTTTGTCAAATCAACTTAAATAATTTATTTAGTTCAGATAACATATAATTTTGAGTTTCTGATGATTAAATCATTCTCCCTAATTGTATTAACTCACTTTTTCCAGTTCAATGAATTTAAAATTTTAAGGCAACCAGGTTAATTACTCTTTTAAGTTAAACCAACAATATATTTTTACAGTGTGAGCATAAGAGACTTCTTAAAAAAAATCTTACCAGCCTCTGCTTTTTGAATGGTTTTTTAAATAAATTTAGTTTTATTAAATAATAACACTTATTTTAAATCTTTGCTTTTAATAACCATTGTGTGAGAATTATATTGCACAAAAATACCCATTGTTAATTTCTATGGTGATCCACTTAAAAAAATAAAATAAAGGACAAATATATAATCCATTAAAAACAGAAAAATCGCTTTAATCAATGTATACGTTTATACGTTTTTATAACAAGCATTTTATGAAATATCAATTTGAAAAGTGATATTTATTTACATGTTTTTATTTTTGAAGTGCTACACTGATAATTGCTTATATTTTCCTGTTCCTCCTCTTAGTTCTCCTATGTAGTTATATGTGGTTAGAAGCTTGTAGTGTAGCTGACTACGCTTTCTAAAAGCAGCTTGATTTCATTTCAACATTTATCTACAGGTCTAAAGACTCCAGCACACTGAAATCTGAGCCAGAGGCCGTCGAAGACGCAGATGGGAAGACGTTTGTCCAGCTTATGCCATGCTGGACATCCTCCATGAGGAAGTGAAACAGGGAAGCAGTAATGGACACAAGCAGAAGTGCAACAGAAATGTTGTGATATAGTTTAGCATCAAGAATCAATGGAAAAATACAACACAGCTTGAGCCATGTTAAATGTATGACACTCACAGAGTTGCGGAATTCAAAACAGTTTAAAAATAATAAATGAGAAGTGTTATGAATACACAATATTAGCAACCATAGATATTCCCCTCTGTCAATTTATCTTCTCAGTGAACTGGTGTGGTCAGAAACAAAATAACAAAAGTCAAGAAGAGAGGAAATGCTTGTATGATGTGTTGTGTACCTGTGTCGGGGTCTGTAGCTCGGACCACTACCACAGATGTACCAATCCCAGCAGTCTCTCTGAGCCCCAGACGATTGTACTGCGACTGAGTGAAGACTGGAGACTCGTCATTCACGTCCTCCACGTACACAATCACCTACAACGCAAACTCACAATCAGTCTGATTCACAACACACATATTACATTCAGCACTTCCTTTTTTTCTAGAATTAAACATGACATTTTTAGCCAGATTAAATAAAATAAAAAAATGTGTGTTGTCTCTTTGAAAGCTTCGATAACTTCAGGAATTTGTTTCGGTCTACTACCATGTCATTTTTTTTTTTATAAGATCTCTGTTATGTTTATGTTACATGTTCCCTGTGTTGTGTTTGGATTGTTATGTTACTTCCTGTCCCGAGTGCCATTTTTATAGTCTTGATTGTTTTAGGTGTGTCTTGTTAGCTTGTGTTTCTCTTGTTCCTCGTCAGTCATTGTTAATGCATGTACAGTAACATGTTCAGTCAAATGACATTCCGATCAAAAACGTGTTTACACTTGTGTTTTCAATGTGTATGTGGACAACAACCAGATACAGGTGGCATGTGTAAATGAGCCCTTCAAATAATTAGGTATGTAGTTTTAGAAACCTTTCTGATAGGCAATGCACACTTTTCACCATTTAATCAATACCTTAAGGATTACATCAAATCTGGCCACACAACACTGAACATGATTTTACTTTTAAGGTCACAAGGTCACACACACAAACAACCACTTTATATGTTTTATGGGGACTTTCCATGATGATTTTTTATACTGTGGAAATTGTATATTCTATCCCTAACCTTACCCCTAAACACAATCCTCACAGAAAACTTTCTGCATTTTTACTTTGTCAAAAACATAATTCAGTTTGATTTACAAGCTGTTTTCCTCATGGGGACATCACAAAGTATGTTTTTCCAGAATCACACACACAAACACACCCTGACAGAGCTGCGCATGCTGCCCTGGTCACTGTTGTAGGCCTCCACCTCCAGCACATGAGAGCTGCGCGTCTCTCGGTCCAGAGCCACAGTTCCTCTGCTGATGAGTCCAGACAGACTGTCCATGCTAAACTGACCATTGTTTCCTATAGAGAGCAGACATCACACACACACACATGAGCCTTCCTGCCAAAGTACTTCACATGAAGTCCGAGGTTGGAAACAATAATGATAATTTATGTTCTGTCATGACAAATCTCTGAGAGTCTGGCATGGTAATGAGTCTGAGAATGTTAATGTGTTTGGTCTTGGCTGAATAGATCTGTTACAGTGATGTTGTTTCTGCTGTAAAAGCATACATGAATTACCCCAGCAGATCTATACAGGTGGAGCTGGGGAAGGTGAAGGTTTCTGAAAGTGTGCTGCAAACAATAGGGAAGAATTTGAATATTGAGAAGCAAGCTCATTGGCTACCAATACAGCGGGAACCAATCAGCTGTGACCAATATATTAATTCAAATTAATATTCTATAAAGAATGATGTGATTGCAAGCGATTGGGTTAAGGACTTAAGCATGCGCCTTCTAGAGATTCATGACAGAACTTTGTATTTCCTGGCAGGGTTTGTCTCTATTTGTCTAAACATGTGAAGCATAGTCATGTTTAACCACGAAAAAACTAGGAGAAAGAAATAATAAAATACATTTTCTAAAATAAAATAAAATCTGTTTATAAATCGATTAACACTGCTTGTGGCAATGTTTACAGTTTACAGAGATGTTGGCCAAAGACATTCTGAAAATACTCAAAATATTCCTATAACAAGATTTATATATATATATATATATATATATATATGAAGAGTTCAGATGCAAAAGCCTCTAAATGCCATTTGAAATTTTCTTCTTTAATGATGATTTTTATCAAACGTGTATATTTATGTTCAGTAATTTCACTTAAATAACAATTAATAGGTAATTATCATTGCCATTTAAGTGAAATACTGAACTTAAATATACAAGTTTGATAAAAATTTCAAATGGCATTTAGAGGCTTTTGCATCTGAACTCTTCATATATATATATATATTGGAATAATATGAATTAGTTAGTATAGTACATAGTGGGAGCGCATCTGATCAAGCCATTGAGGTGCGACATCAGGAAACAGGAAGAATAGTTACCGGAGAGAATCCTGTACAGAACTCTTCCATTCTCCCCCTGATCCGCATCTGTGGCCTGAACCTGCAGACACACACAAACACATGTAACCACAAAACATACAAACACATGTACTGCTAAAAAATGAGAGTGAAAGTAACACTTAAACTCCACACCCACAAACACCTAACCGATATTATATAACGTATTGAACAAAACACATTCAAACTCTCAAACAGACTACAAGTGGACTCCTCCTTTCCACCGTCTCAAGTAATGTGTGCATTTCTTTATTATGAGCAGCACCAAATAAAATACAATCTTTGGCTCAACCAATAGTGTGAATTTGGGGCGGGGCTATCTATGTAATGATGACTACAGAGTGCAACAGTGCCCGCCCCTTTTTTTAGCGGCGCTAGTTTTGGAAGTACTTTTTTAAATTAATTTTTCCCATAGGGATTTTAAAATAATCATCGTAAAGAGTTATAAGTAACGAACCAAGCCAATCAGCTATGAGGTGAATCACAACACTACTAACTTTGATTTGAAGCAAAAAAGTTTTAGAAAATCAGACAAAAACGCAAAAGGTACAAGACTGTGTACTTAGCTTTAGTGACGGAAAGAACTACAATCCCACGAAGCGTTGCGAACAGCATAATCACATTAAAAGCGATACTCATTTACAAATGTTGATTATATGTATTAAAATATAGAAGTTTAAAATAATATGTTTATTGCGAAAAGTATTTCAGTATTTTGAGAGCGTATTTAGATCACTATGATTACGTCAGTGCTTCATGTGAGTGGGCGGGGCTAAAGAGCTATTTTGGAGTGTGTTGCTTTTTTTCAGCTCTGATTGGTAGAATTTGTACAGTATGGGCAATGAAGTTTTTACCAAAAGTTACATGATTATTTTAAAAAATAAACTGAAATAATCTGGGTTATCAACCACAGTAGGTCTTAAAGGTTTAAGTTATCTTTCAAAATCAATTTCCTTATGGAGAAAACACAACGTTTTTACTCCCGGAACCTGACTCTTGCACTCTATTTAAAGACTGTTTAAACCTAAAACTTCTTAACTGCAGTAAAACACAGCCTGAAATTGCTGAATGCAACAGCATATATATATATATATATATATAAAAAACAAAAAAAAAAAAAAAAAAAAAACACTAATTCAATAAATAGCTACAAAAATGATTGGAATAAATAATTCCAGGAAGTACGCAATATAAATAGTTCATTATAGCCAAACCGCTGACTGTTTAAGTTAGCTAAGCAAAGTCGCATTAATATAAAATGTTTTTATGAGTTCAAATATGACTCGTCATGTTTGGTGTCACAAGTGGAACAGAAGCGACACGGTTCACCTTTAAATAGCTGTCATAGTAGTAACTTGTACGCACAAATACAAATTCAATGATCATTTAAATCATGGAAACACAGATCAGCAATTGTTCCTAAATACATTTACACGCATAAATTCATCATATTAAAGAGTAAAACCATTTAGCACACACTGAATACATCCATATATTAGTCAAATCCTACTGACAGCGAGGAGGACGGCCCCTCCTTCAGACTCATTAGCTTTATAAAAAGATGTGGAGAGTTGAAGAAAGAGGTAGGGGATGAGGAGGAGGATGGGGAGAGAAAGAAAGAAGGGGTCTAGGGGGGTCTCTTGGAGAGAGATGAATAGAACAGGCAGACCGGACCATACCATCACATGGGGGGGTTATATCTTGAGGCTGAAAGTTTGGCTCAGAATGGATTTTTAGCTCATGAAACACACTGCTATGGTCAAAAAAGAAGGAGAGGTTGATTTAGAGTCTCTCTGAACGGATATTAGTTGCTCTTTCTGCACATGTTCTGATCCCCATCTTCCAGCTGTCTCATCTCCAACGCTCTTGGTGACAACGTGATTTGAAACAAGAGGAACTTTGGAGGAGTCACTAATCGCGTCGAATGCTAAAGGTAAAGTTGAACCACAAAGAATAAACTGAGAAATAAATGCTATTCGTTGGACCCCTGTTGAAAACACCAGGATATGTTTTGTTTTGGATGCTGGTTTCCCTATCGGGATTTTTCATTTTTGTTCTGCTGAGCAACATGGCTACACTGGTCCAGCAGCCCCAAACCCACACTAACCAGCATAGACCAGCATGGACATTTATTCAGCAGGGTCGAATCCATTTTATGTTTTGCCATGATGTCAGCCATAAAGTACACGGGACAACATAAACCACGTTTGCATTGTATGCTTTGCCTGAAATCACTGACTATAAATCACTTAAATATTCACAACAAATACCACAAAGGTTACTATAAATGGGAACACATTAGTAGGCAACATTCAATTGATCAAAAGTGTCACTAAAGATTGATTGTTTCAAATAAATGCTGTTCGTTTGAATTTTCTATTCATCAAACTAAAAATGTATTATGGTTTCCAAAAATGATTTTTGCTGCTTGTTCAAATGAGCTTAAGCAACACAATTGCTATACATTTTGTCCAAACTTAATTTGATTGTGTTTAATCTGTTTAAATATATGTAAAATTTAAGTTTACTTAATCTGTTTGTGTTGGATTACATGAATGATGTTGCATTAACTGAAACTGGGCGGCCGGCGCTTGTCAGTTCCCAGCATGCTTTGCATAAGGCTGAATTAAGAGAGAATAAATGTTTAAATTGTAAGTGTTTCTGAGAAAATTAGAAAAGGGGAAGGCTTGACTTGAGTGCGTAAGTGTGTTTATTGTTCAATTACATTGCAATTATTAATACCATTTAAATTACAGTGTGTTACCATTGTGGAGAAGATTATTAGCTATTACTTGGTTATAGTCTAGGAATGTATTAGTGTGACACTATATTATATTGTATAGTTGACCTTAATACATTAAGTTGACCCAATGTAAGTATATTAAATTGGAATAACAGAATTGCATAATGCTGAAATACATTTGAGTTTTGAGTGTTTTGAACAATGATAATAATAAGAAATGAGTCTTGGGCAGTAAACAAGCTTATTCAAATGTTTTCTGAAGGATCCTGTGACACAGAAGACTGGATTAATGATGCTGTAAATTTACAGAAATACCATAAATGATTTAAAAACATAAATGACATTTAAAAACATAACAGACTTTTAAAAAACGTAAAACTTATGAACGATAGTCTGAATCAAAACAAGAGACCAAACCTACTTCACATCTCACTGTTCTTACTGAAAAGTACTTAAAATACACTTTAAATTAGATTCGAAATCCCACATAAATGGGATTTGTATTACAATTTTTTTCTTTTTTTTTTTGCAAATTGTGTTTTTCCCACCAAAGACTAGTGCACCATGAAAAAAAAAAAAAAAAAAAAAAAAAAAAGAAGAAGTATAAAACAGATTCTAGCTGCCTGCTTTAAGCAAAGCAAAAATGTGAGGATGTGTGCATAACTGCATTTCAGCAGATTTGTACTGCGGTTACTAATGAAGCGTTTCACTAACAATAGTTCTGGTCTGAGTGGCCTTTTCAGCCTGTTTGTGGCATTTAAGATGAAGAATAATTTCATGTCTCAATGTGTTTTCATCAAAGCGATAAGTCACACTCTGTGCTCAGAATTTAACATGCTGACATTTAGGTGCAGATAGGTAGAGTAACTGGTGACTTGGGTCGGGTGCTACTCTGTGTTTGTGTGTATTTCAGATGGATTGAGAGTTATTTTAACAGACCCGATATTGCTTGCAAATTCCCCAAAAGAAAACCAACTGGCCACATTTCTCATCTGAACGCTCACTTCATGGGGCACCAACATTTTTAATGTCAAATACCATTTCAAATGTGTTTATTGGAGCGATGTAGGCCAGAAAGTACATAAACATGCGAGTATGCTTAGCACATGCATTCGCCTTGTACGTAAATGAACATGTGTTATTGAGGTTATGTGATGGAGATCCAATTACAACATTACAAGTGTTTAAATTCAACTAACTTGCATACACTGCAAACAAAATAACTTCATTTAATTGGTCTTTTTCTTTTCATTAAAATAAAATAAAAATAAAATACATTTACTTTAGAAGCAATGCTATGATATAAAAATAATGTGGTATCGGTGTATTTCGTCTGTTAAAAACTGAAAAAAACACTATACAAATACCGAATGTTGTATAATTTACTGATCATATCATCATACAGTGTCCTGAAAACAAATCAGTATCTTATGCAGTGCTGTTCTTCAAGGGAATTTATCTTGTTTTAAGGATTTTTTTGATATTTGATTAGTAAAAAAAAAAAAAAACACAACTTTGACAAAAAGTAGTCTTTAATAATGGCTATAAATACTGTATTTCCAAATGCAAAACCTAAAAGAAAATTATGTCTGAAAACAAAGCTCACCTGAATTGCCATTATTAGTGATACATCATTTGGGTCACGCGCATGTGTTTGTATTGGGTGTGTGTGGGAAATCCCTGAGCAGAGGGGCCTGTGTAGACCTTAATCTGCCCCTGCTGGGTGTGTGTGTGTGATTTTATGATTAAGAGTTTGATAGAGTGCAATATAAATCCACTATACTTGACCTTTCTTTACAGAAAACGCTCAGTCATTTTGCTAGTCTTGCAGAGAAGCACCGTAAGCTGCGTGTGTAGAGATAGATGGTGATGACGATAATATGTGTGTACTGTAGATGTTCAGTCCCGCCACCACAAACCGCACTGTGTTTACCTACAGGAAAATGTGCTCAGATGTTGCGCTTTCATTGCTCATTTGAGAATCATCTCAGATGTTTCGAATCATTAGGAGAAGATTTTTTAGCATTAGCCTATTTTATAGGATCTATAAATATTTAGCTTTTTCAATTTTAATTTTAGTTTACATGTTTTTGTGTAATTTTTATTATTTTTTTGTTTTTATAAATTATTTTTATTTAGCTTTAATTTACTTTCATTTCAGTTTTAGTATTTAGTTTTTCAAACGTATTTTTTTCCCAGTAAGCATTACATTTATAATTTAAGTTTAAGTTGTTTAACTAGTATTTACATTTTATTTGATTTCAGCTTTACTTCTATTAACTAAAACAGCTACGTTTTAGTTAACAATTCCAACACTAAGAGAAATAAATTAGACACAAATGAGATAAACTATATAAAAATAAAAATTGTAATTACAGAGTTTATGAAATGAGATCATGAGCTTCATAAGAAACCTTTAATTGCAGATTATCTGAGCGCAGTGTGAGGCAGTCCAAAACTCACATGTGAGATTAAGTATGGTCTTTAAAAAAATGAAACATACTTGAATTGTGCAATGATTAGCTTTGAGTCACATCTCAGACCACTGTGACCCATACAAACTCAAAGCGTTTACACAGTTGATGTTTTAGGTTTAAAAAATAAAGTGTCCAATTGCCTGCTGTATCATTGCTTAAAACAAATAATTAAGAAATTAAAGATTCTTTCTTAAGCGTACACACACACACACACCTGTTAACCACATCCTGGAACCTTGCATGCGTCTCGTACAAGCACACATTCACACATTTGCACAAGCCTGAACATAAAGTGTCACAAAAACAACCTCCACTTGACCCAGATTTAACAGGAACTCCCGGTTTTGCTTCTCTACAGATCCAGGAACGAAATGGACGTTCCCTTCAATCTGTCCCTCTCCAATCTCTCACTTCCCGTCTCCCCAACATCTCCACCTCTGGATCTTCAACACCCCCTCCTGACCATCATCATCATCGCGTGTCTCTTCGCTGTGTTCGGGGGCTGTGTGATTGTTCTGGCGATGTGCTGCTCGACGGGAGGGTCGTGGGGTGTGGACGGGGACGGCGGTCTCTCGGGGGGTCAGACTCCGTCCAGCGAGCCCCAGCTGAAGCTCTGGAAGCGCTTGGGCTCTATGAGGCAGTCGTTCTCCTCCACGCCGGCGTTCAGAAGACCCGTTCAGGCATACGTAGCCCAGAGCCGGAAGCAATCAGGGTCAATGCCGCCGGCAGAGTCAAAGACACACGACTCCTACACATATATTACTATACCGTCTCTGCTGCAGTATGCCACCGAGATTTGAGCTCTGTTGCTAAGAAGTCACCTTGCGGTCTCCTGCCTACATAGACACCTGCCTTTTAAGTGACTGAATCAAAGTGCACTTCATAGGGAGAAACTCCAGCTACAGGAAACTAGACTCAAATTGATTCCAAAAAAATACATAACATACACTATCAGATACAATTAGTTTTTTTTAGGTTTAACTGATTTTATCGAAACTTTCAGGAACTGAAATAAATGTGTGTTTAGAATTGACATTTCTATCAACTTGTCTGCCGTTGTCAGCTCAATGCAATGCATTCTGGGATTATCTTTTCCTTTGAGAGGGATGCATATGATGTTGTCACGGTTTAATATTAACAAACTAAAACTAAAAGTATTTAAAACTTTTTTGTTCATTGAAATAAATCTGGAGTTAAATACAAATATTAGATGAAAAATGAAAACAAATTTGTTTTAGTTGAAAGTACTAATTTCAACTTTCAACTAAAAAAGCAACTAAATATATATATGAGTTTTAGTTCAATTGATTTGTTTTTTGTTAGTGTTGTTTACATGTTGTTTACATCTGGTCCATGTGTAATAATGCTCTCCATGTGTATTAAAACTTTATGGGAACACTATTTGCGTCTTAAGTGATACATATGATCCCTGTCTAATAGGACGTACCTCTATAGACATTCAGTGTTTTAATGCAAACTTGAGAGCAAGCCCTGTAATAATAGGCTATCACTACTGAAAGAGATCGGACTGTGTGCAGGAAGACAACTCATTTCAATCACCATTAGCGTCAATCGAAACAAGATGTGACTCAACGATCACACCATACGGTAGCCGCAACTTTACAAACAGCTGGACAACATCACATCCTGCACCCTGGAGTAATTGGTGGCCATTTTGATAGGGCATTAACTACAGAACTACTGTATTTATTTGGAGGAAATCCACATTCATTTGATCTACTTTATGTTTATGTGTACAGTGGCCCCAAGGGTATTTGTACCTTTGTGTCTTTAAAAATGCCTGAATGTCATCGCATCGAGCTTGTACTAATTTTAAACTACTGAATAGTCTGACTATAATATCTCGTTTTTATAATACTATAATATCTCGTTTTTTTTTTTTTTTCATTTAAAACATGTTTTTGTGAAACATTTTACTTTAAATTAAAAAAAAAAAAAAAAAAAAAAAAAGTAAAATCTTATTGTCACTTGTTTATGGTTTTGATACATGTTTAAGTGTGCTTTCGGTGTCCAAACTATAGGATTTGTTTCTTGCAAACTCAAAAAAAGTTTTGCATATAAAAAATTATTTCAATTCATCATATTTTTTCTTTGAAAACAAAAAAAAACACATTTATTTATTCAACTTTTGAAGAACCGTCATGGTTACCCTATTGTGGCAATTGACTGTTCACAAAAACCCACCCCCTTTAGTTACTGTTGCTATGTCCGACAAGCCACGTCGCTCTCACACACACATCTCAGAGACAACACACTGACAGACAGGACAGACCAGGTTACTTTTGATATGAAACTAAGTCTCAACTTATAAGAATTTTAAACAATGAATAGCGTTTTGTGGCTCTTTAATGTGTCTGACAGATCGCTGTAGTTAAAGCTGTTTGTGAACTGATCCTCTCTTCCTTCTAGTTCATTTATAGCATCAAACAAACATGTTTTAACCGTAGAAAGACGTCAGCATGTTCAAATCCTCCAATGTTAATCTGCTAACTCTCCTGACTGCTTTGTCTGACAAAAATGGCTGATTATGATTGGTCAGATCGCCTGTCAATCAAACTCCCTGCGAAGGGTCAATAGAGAGCCTAAGTCCCTTCCCTTCGAGTCATCACATTATTTCGAAAAAATATTGTATGGTAGTCAATGGCGAGACACAACGAATATTTTGATCTCAACTCCATTAAGCTTTCTATTGTTGGCAGTCTAGAGATGGTTATCTGCACACTGGAACATGACATCACAGAAAACAACTGGTATGACATGACACTGCTGCCATGGTTACAGACAAAGAAAAACACAATGTAACTTACAACTCCATGAGCTACTTCATAACACCAATACTGAAGAAAAAAAAACTTTTCATGGGCATAGTTTTCATATAGAACAGTGAATATGTGCATGTGTACCTGTAATATACTAGTTCCTCTTGATATGTTCTCCAGGACGCTGGTCTCATAGCTGTTCTGGATAAATATAGGCCTGTTGTCATTGACGTCCAGCACCTCCACATATACTGTAGCTGTGCCTGTTCTCCGTCCTCCCGCTGGACCATTATCTACAGGAGAACCATCAACAGTCTGGACAATACGGCTAGGAAATGCTACTCTCAGTATAAATAAAATACAGCACAAGATCAAGGTTGAATGATTTCTCTGACATGTCTAGTCATTTAGGATTATTGGATAAGGATTTTTAAATTATTTTTATTAATTTATAAATTATAATTTATTTTTAAACTAAAGAAGACCTGGAACTTGAAACAAAGCATACTTAAAATATTATTATTTTATTTACTTAATTTACTTATTAATATTATTATTTTTTAGATTCTAATTTATATCATATGCATTCTAATTTGCAATATAGCTAATAGTTCCAAGTTTTCCATGACCATGGGAACACTGATAGCAACATAAAAATGCACAATAAAACCCTTGACTAATGAAGGACCAATAAAGCCTCGATAACTAATATCTTCACTGGTGGTGTTGCATCATGGTAATACTAGTCATTTTTAAATAACCAATAGTTGTGCAAAGCAAAAGCAACATGACTGTGCTAAAAAAAAAGACCCATGAAAGACCCACATTTACTTGTATTGGTGTAAAATGTGTTGCTAAAAAAATATTATATACTATATATATATGAAATATTAATATAATATTAAATAAATAAATAAATAAATTATAAATTATAAAGTTATAAAGTCAGAATTCTTGTATGTATGTATGTATATATATATATATATATATACAAGAATATATTTTATTCTTATTTTATATTTTTTTATTTATTTTATTTTTTATGTAAAATGACTTGCAAGAGTGTTTTTACTTATCAGATAAGTGCAATGATGCGCTTCTCAGTATTGAAAAAAAGTGGCCAGCGTATTTTCATAGAAGCTCACCAAACTGGTATTAGAACAGCTGGTGTATGTCTGAAAGCTGCACAGCTCAAACAGGAAACCACAACACTTCTTTCAATTCAATGTCATTTACACAGGAAACTGCAAAAGATCATACCACATATGCATGCACACATGTATAACCAGTTGTTTTAACACCTATATGAAACTCACCAATCGCTTCAATCACCAGCCTGTACGAGCCCTGAGTCTCCCGATCCAGACCCACCACGGTCCGTACCACACCGGTCCGGAAGCCCACGCTAAACTTTCCATCTTGGTTCCCTCCTATTGGGACAAATAAACACAGGCTGAGAAATCACAAATCACGGCTCTGTCCCAAACCCCAGTGTGCTGCCTTCAAAGATGGGACATCGACTGATTTTGACTGTGCTACCTGTGTTGTCACACTAGCGCACAATTGATTTCAATGGAGTTTAAGATTAGCATGTTACATATTGGTACATATTTGAAATTGTTGCAGCACCTCTCTGTCAGTAACACTTTGTTTAGTTCCTGTCTCTAAGCCCCTCCTTCCCGAAAAGCACAATGTGCTCTGATTGGACGGCTGGACCAGTGTGTTGTGATTGGTCAACCGCTTCGAGTGTGTTTAGGAAATTTCACACCACTTACCATAACTGCGAGTTTTAACACACTACTAGCACAACTCATCTAGGCCCCGCCCCTTTATTTTGCGTATGCCTTGGGCGGGAATTATTTAAATTAGGAATATTGCGGCGTGTTTGTTCCCAGAATTTTTTGTTTGTTTTTTATTTTTTTTTTTTTTTTTTTTTTTTTTTTCTCTCTCTCTTTTGTGTTACATGATTTATGACATGATTTCTAAATGACTGATCAAAGAAATAAATAAATACAAATACAAAATACAATAAAACCGAAGACTACGTATTTCAGGGAGTTTAGAAACTTTGTATCTTTGCAGACCTTTTTCATGCATAACTGAGCATGCTGAGCTCAATAAGTTGGCCTAGCGTATATTTAGAAACTAGAATGCTGTTTTGTTAAGGCTATGATGCCTTAATATGCTGCCTTAGCCTTAGATTCACATCTGAAAGCGAGTCACTGTGGGTCACAGCAGACCCAGCCCGAATCCCACAGTGTTGCTCCATCAGCACAAACTCATTCACACTCTCTGATCTGTGACCTTCTGCCCTCTGACCTGTGATAAAATAGCTGAGCTCTGCGTTAAGACCCGCGTCATTGTCTGTGCAGTTCAGTCTGACCAGCACATAATCACGGGGCACGTTCTCATCCAACGATACGTTATAAACGCTGGGATAGAAGGTTGGCGTCTCATCATTCATGTCCAAAACTGCACAGAAAGAGACACACACACACACACACACACACACAATAACATCATTCAGCATTTGCTTTTGAACAAGAGGTATTGACAGCCAGACAGTGAGTGGTCCTCCTGCTCTGTACCTGTGATGGTGAGAGTGCTCGTGGACGTTCGTGGAAACTGGCCTGCGTCATACGCAATAATTCTCAGATAATACTGGCCAATCTGCTCGCGGTCCAGCACTGCCGTGGAAAACAGGATTCCTGTGGTGATGTTGAGCCTGAAGTCCAGCCGCGGCATCCCCATCTGAAGAGCCATGGTCACCGCGCCATTGTCACCTTCATCAGGGTCCTGCACCTGCACCTGAGGGAGGAAACCAGCAGGAGGCAGAAGAGAACTTCATTAGACCACAACATTGAATCAAAGACGACCATGTTAGCAAAATGTTCAATTTTGTTAGTGCAAAAAACATGCTAATTCATATTAACAGTGTGCTAAACATGCTAGCAACATGGTAATTTATGATAGCAAAGTGCAAACACATGCTGGCAACATGATAATTCATGTTAACAATGAGACAAAACATACTACCAGCATGCTAATTCATGCTAATGATTAGCAATGCGTTTAAACATACTAGCAACATGTTAACAATGTGTCAAAACATACCAGTAACACGGTCAAACAATCTAGCAATGTGCTAAAACATGCCAGGAACATTTAGTGTTTTGGTAATTCATGCTAGTAACATGCTTGGAACATGTTGATTCATGCTAGCAATGTATTAAAATATGATAAGACACATGCTAACTAACAACATGATAAATCATGCTAGGAAGCTTAAGGCTTTGTCAAGCCAACATAAAAGTTTTTCCCCACAAACTTTACTTTCTAGTTATTGCCCATGTTAAAAACAGTTGTGCCGCTTAATATTTTTGCCATGCATTTTTCCAGGCAATTTCCCAACACAGTTATCAAATTGTCAAATCTGCTCATTTTCATACTGGTGATTACTGTCTGTCAAATTCAGTTGCAATTATTGCTTGGTTTATTTAAAAAAGATATTTCAAATGAGGATATGAACCCGCCGGGCCAGCATACTAAAATGAAATGACTGTTGAATATTTAATCAGTGAACTTTCAGTCCCTGTGGATCAATCAAACGCTAACCCTGAACACAGAAGATCCAATAGAAAGCCCCTCTGGTACTTCAGCAACAAATGGGAGGTTGAGAAAGGCAGGGTCGTTGTCATTGAGGTCCAGGAGGTTCACATACACCGTAGTGCTGGCTGAAGAGCGCAGTGGAGGTGTCCCACCTGAGGAGGGCAGCACAACAATGAGAATCCTCACATATGGCATAACTTATCTGAGTTTTTGAGTAAGTAAAAAAGTAAGTGCTTTAGTAAGTAAGTGAAATAGAATTAGGCAATGATCAACATGAATACATACCTTGATATATAATACTGTGGTTATAAAATACAGCACATGGATATCTTAGATTGAATGATTTTTGGAAAAAAAAAAAAATGATTTTTTAAATCTGATTTAATTCAGTTTGTGAAAGAAAGGTCAAGAGTCTCTTACACTCAATTAAATCTCTTATACATTTGATTAAACATACAGAATATAGTACAATATTTTTACAATTTAAAATAACTGTTTCAATTTAAAAATATTTTTAAAATGTAATTTATTCCTGTGATGACAGAGCTGATTTTTTAGCATCATTACTTCAGTCTTAATGTATCACATTTTATTTTTCAGGACTATATGATGAATAGAAAGTTCAAAAGAACAGCATTTATTTGAAATACTAATCTTTTCTAGCATTATAAATGCAAATTTAATGCATGAATAATTCTTAAAGTATTAACTGTAGTGTGTACAAAGTTTACATACTGTGCTCAACATACAAACTTTACACTGGAGATATGGGAGGACTGGTGTGTTAGCATGATTTAAAGACACCGAAGGTTGGTGACTGTAAAACTAGCTTTATTGTGTCCTGAGCGAGAGACAAAGAGAGAGAGGGGCATTATGGGACAGCTGAGAGTTGCTTACGGTCGGTAGCAGAGATAACGATGGTCCTCATAAGCTGTGCGGACCGGGCGTTTTGACTCTCTCTGTCCAGCACAGCTCCACTGGTGCGGATCTTCCCAGTGTTGCGGTTGATGGTGTAGAAGGGGTTCTCTGGATTTATGGAATAAACCACCGTCCCATTATCACCATAATCAGGGTCCACCGCTAATATCTGCGAAGAGAAAAAGAAAAATGAGTCCCAAAACAGAGTTCCAAGGTGCAGAAATTAAATCACACCAATCCTCTCCCCACAGAATGGCATGATGGGAGATTTATGCATGGGGCATAACTGTATAAAACCCTAGCTGTTATTTTTTTCTAAAAGAGCCAATCAATTATTCACCGCGCTGGTGTGGAAAGCACTGAAAATCACTTAATTGGTCATTAGAGAACAAAGGTTCTGTAAGTCTTTAATTATTAAAACAGGAAGGACCAGACGAGTGTGTTCTTCATTGATTCGAGGGAGTTTAAACGGGTGAAGAATGGCAAGGGTCTAATGTAAACTTTATTTAATTGAATTGAACTCCAAGGGATTTTATTTTACACATTTATTCGGGCATGTTTACAAACCAATTTAAAGTTGATGTTTGTAATTTTGCGATGCTAAAATATGTATGCCTTGCAGAAAGTCTCATTGCGTATGAAAGAATACAGGGACGAGAGGCAGTCAAGCTTAAAAAATGATAACAAATAACCAGTGGTGGAATGTAACGAAGTACAAATACTTTGTTACTTTACTTAAGTACATTTTTCACGTATTTGTACTTTACTTAAGTAGAATAAATAGTGCATACTTTTTACTTTTACTTCGATACATTTTTCACCAATTATTATACTTTCTACTCCACTACATTTCTACAACTTCTGTTACATTTTCATTACATTTCCTGATCAGTTTTTCCCCTGCCAAAACATAATCTGACCGTCCATCCGTTGTGCGTTTGGTTGCCATAGATAGTATTTCAACCCGGTCACACTAAATGCGTCTCGCACGCAGTGTTTATCGTGCAATTTATACGCGAAAATTTGTTTTTGCGTGCATAGGAAATGCACCGTGTGGAATATGCGTTTGGTTAGGATTATGGCAAGCCAAGAGGTTCAGAATTACACCATAAATTAATCGCTTTCATTGCCATAGTTATTAACATTTAGTAAGGATAAGCATGATGTGCATATTGCCTAATTGCAAGCTTGTTTCAGAAATGGTGACAACAATTTTTTTCCCATCATTATTGAACATCATTGTAGGAGTATTAGGTTGAATGAGTTAGAATTAAATGTTTTATTAATCATTAGAAAATAGAAATTAAGAAAATAAATTATGCAAGTACTTTTACTTTTAATAAAGTACATTTAAAATCAGGTACTTTTACTTTTTACTTAAGTATGGTTGTCATTGTGTTACTTCTACTTTTACTAAAGTAAATATTTATCTGGTTATTTGTACTTTTACTTAAGTACTGAGATTCAGTACTTCCTCCACCACTGCAAATAACCATCATATATACACTCACCTAAAGGATTATTGGGAACACCATATATACTGTGTTTGACCCCCTTTCACCTTCAGAACTGCCTTAATTCTACATGGCATTGATTCAACAAGTTGCTGAAAGTATTCTTTAAAAATGTTGGCCCAAACATTTAGTTTTTACATCCACTGTTCTGTGATTAAAATTATCCATCCATTTCTTCCTTTGTTCTGTTTCATCTCTCTCTCTCTCTCTCTCTCTCTCTCTCTCTCTCCTGCACAGTGTCCAGCAGGGTAATCAAGTATGCACTTGACTCTAGGCTACATTTTAATTAGTCATTGGAACCTCCCAATGAAGTTCAGTACTGGCTTATTAATTAAAGGACAATCAGTGGCATATTTATCCAAATATAAACCGTTTACAAGCAGAGTTTAAGGTCTCTAAACAAAGGACTGACCACACTTCACTTGAACACCCACATCTCAAATTCAATCGTTTTTTCCAATAGACTGTAAAACAGTATCAGTTCCATCAGTTCGCTTTTTCCTAAGAAGCGACGTCCACACATATCGCCCGCAGTTCAGATTTACAAAAATTATTTGCAAAATTTACAAGATCTGGCTGAAATTTTGTGAGTATGGCATAGGGATGCAAATATCGATTAATTCATTAAAAAATTAGTTGATCAACCTTATCGATCGATTAACAAATAACTGATAAGTGCCTATTTTCCTGAGAATATGGTATCAATTTAACATAAAAAGCTAAATATTGCTTATATACTGAATAAAAATGCATGTTATATCGCTCAATTGATGTTTTATTGTAACAGTTGAGATATGCACAGAAAATTAAAATAATTGTGCACTGGCTCACCTGTTGCATGTGAAACATTAAGCAACATAAAATACATTTTATGTCGACTTTCTTGACTCGATTTTATATACAAAACCTTCATGACAAAGAGGTTCTTTATAAGGAGAAATGTCTTAAATTAATGGATAATATTCTCCTGTTTAACTGGTTATTTCAAGTCATAAAGTACTGTTTGATTCATGATCGTTGAAAGAACCCTTTCTGAGTGTAGTTTCCAGAGCCAGACATAACAACACTAATCCAACGGGATGAGTCAGTCATGAAAACAGTTCTGTTTGGTGCCACGAGTGGCACATAAATCTCACACTTCACCTTTAAGTGAGCTCATTGTGGCAGTCTGGGAACCTGGTAAACAAGATGTTGTTTCCTGGTGGACTGATTACCTTATGAACCATGACTTATACAATACAAATACATTAAAGATAGTTCATAATATTGGAGTTTTAGATGTTGGAAACCTCTAACTAACTTGTGAATGGTCCCTGGGAGTGCCTTCTGAGACTGAAAGTAGAGATGGCATGACTGACATTAACATATGAACTAATTTATTCATCCACCAAAGGAGGAAAACCCCCTCAAGATGGGACTTTCACATACTTTAAGCAATAGAATAATAGGAGCATATAGGAGCTCCATAAAATGTTCCAAGGACACCGAGGTGAGAGCCCACTTTGAATTCAGCTGCAAAACCCCAGCCGATCAAAGGCTGGGACGGAGGAGTTTTCTCCAGACGGAGAGGAGATGGAAACTTGCTCCTCTGGGTACTGGGGGGGATTTGACTCAGAGAGAAACTATAAGATATTATTAGTCATAAAATCAATAGCACTAACCATGTTTACCTGCTGACATTAGGATCTAACCTCTGCTCTAAACAAGCACAGTTTCTATATCTTGTCATTTCATCTAATCAATACAGATGGTGGGATATGATGAGAATGTAGCCTTTTTGGTGTCTAACCAGACCACGTCTGTCTAGTTCCTAAAGGAGAACTATACGCACCATTAAAAAATATAAAATAAGTCGTCTTTTGAAACCACATGATTACTTTGTGTGAGAAACAGACTGAAATTTGAGCCATTATTCAGACAAAGCAGTCAAAACTATTTGTGGAAATATTGCTTTAAAAATAAAAGGTTAAAAGGTCAGTTCAGAGGTTAAAGGTCAAATCAGTGCACTCACAGTAATGACGTCGGTATCGATGGGACTCATCTCCACAACGTTTGCTTGATACGGCTCATCTCGCCACATGGGGGCGTTATCATTTATGTCCAGAATAGTGATGTTCACCTGCAGAGAAATATATACGTTTTAAAACACTTTAAAATCGCTATAATGCATGCCTTCAAGTGACTTTACATTTAAAATATGTTGGAAACAGCTATATGAAAACAGACACCCATTTACAGTACTTATTAAAGGAGTAGTTCACTTTTAAAAAAACTTTTGCTGATAATTTACTCACCCCCATGTCATCCAAGTTATCCATGTCATTCTTTCTTCAGTCGAAAAGAAATGAAGGTTCCCTATCGAGGGAACTCAACACTGCGTCGATAAAATCGACTCTTTGGGGGGACGCTCCCTAAGCGTGCGCCTCTGAAGTATGAATGAAACTAATCCAATCCTGATTGGTGTTGCGTCGTGACGTAACATGTGACGGCATACCCGGAAGTATAAAAGTGACGCTGTCACAACACACACTAGCTTTCGCTCTTCAGCAAGCGCTTTATGTTGAAACTGTCTGTCTTATTTGGTGTTGTTTGTCTTATTATTGAAAGAAAGTATGGCCAGTGAACAATTCAAGAGGTGTGTGCATCCCTGCCCTCGTTTCATCACGGGTGGGGACGCACACTCTCTATGTGTGTATTGTTTGGGAGTGCAGCACGCACGGGCAGCTCTCGAGGGGGCTGCTTGTGAAATGTGTGAGGCTTTGCCTATTAGAGTGCTGCGCTCCCGGCTGGCGTGCTTTGACGAGCACGGTCAGGCTCGCGTTCCCCAGGGTTCCGGTCCCGCATATGTCGAGGCGATGCGGCGACTGAGATCCTGGGGTTCGCAGCGGGATCTGGCGGAGGAGAGTGAGAATGCTGAGGCATTTTCTCGCTCGCCATCGGCTGGTCCCGCAGCCTCTGAGAGTGGTGTGGGAGCCCGCGCTGCGGTTTCTCCTACCCGCGATCAGGTCCCGGTGCTTGAGCTGTCTACTTCTGAGGAAGGGGACGTGCTCAGCATCGATGCGGACGACCGTGATCTCAGCACGCCATCACGCGGCCTGGGTTATGAGGAGCTGGTGGAGGTTGTGACACGCGCTGTGGCCAGACTAAACATCAGCTGGCCACAACATGAGCAGGAAACGCAAGTCACCAGTAAAATGGACGAGCGTTACCTGCAGCGCAGGTCACAGCCTCACCGCCGGGGTCTGCCGTTTTTCCCTGATCTCCATAAAGAGATCTCGAGAACGTGGGAAAGACCGCATTCGTCCCGTATTTCGAGTCCCAATGTAATAGATTACAGCAATGTTATGGGGGCTCGAGATATGGGATATGGGAAGATGCCGAAGGTGGAGGAGGCTTTAGCGAGCTATCTCTCTCCCGAATCGGCGTCTTCCCTAAAGACCCCGGTGTTGCCTAGTAAGCCCTGCAGAGAGACATCTGCATTGGTGGGCAGGGCTTACATGGCGGCGGGTCGGGCTGGTTCGTGTCTGCACTCAATGGCGATTTTGCAGGCATACCAGGCCGACCTCCTGAAAGATTTGGATGAGGGGGAGGGGCCTACTCCTGAAGATGTCGCGGAGTTGAGGAAGGCCGCAGATTTGTCTCTCCGGGCCACTAGGGAAGCGGCCAGCGCTATTGGCCGCTCTATGGCGGCCATGGTGGCCACGGAGAGGCATCTGTGGCTGAACTTATCCGGTATTAAAGAAAAGGATAGGTCCTTCCTGCTGGATGCGCCGCTTTCGGCTTCTGGCCTGTTCGGCGACGCCGTTAATTCGGTTGTCGACAGGTTTCAGGAGTCGAGAAAACAATCTGCGGCGTTCCAGCAGTACCTCCCCCGGAAAGCGAAGGCCAAATCTAGTAGGGGGGGGCAAAGCAATCAGCCCCAGCCATCAGCCAGCTCCTCCCACAGGGCAGAGCAGAAGGAGAGCGTTTCCTCTAGAGCCCCCCCTCCGGGGTCTTGGCAACAGAGGAAACGCTCCCAAAAACCGAAGTCCTCCAGCCAGAGGGGCGACCTGAGGGACGTCATTCAGGCTAAGAGGACTTCGGAAAAGAGGTCCTAGCCAAGGCAGGACTTCAGAGGGCTGCCCCCTCCGCAGTGAGACAACCGAGGTTGTTCTCACAACGGGGCCCTCTAGGAAAAGATGCAGGTCCGCCGTTAACAGCGCTTCGGGCCGCATCAATTTCCAGCGAAAAGACACCAGAGGCCAGCCTCGAGAGGCTGGTACCCTTAGCAGATTTTGTAGAGGGATGGTATCATCTTCCCAACATATCTCCATGGGTCCTGCAGATAATACGAGTTGGGTACAGACTGCAGTTCGCGCACCGCCCCCCCAAGTTCTCTGGGGTGGTGCTCACTGCGGTGGTCCCAGAGCAGGCTCAGGTGTTGGAACAAGAAGTACAGACTCTGCTGTCGAAAGGAGCCATAGAACGTGTTCTTCCGGTAGACAGGGAGTCCGGGTTTTACAGCCGGTACTTTATAGTTCCAAAGAAGGATGGGGGGTTAAGGCCAATTTTGGATCTCAGGGTGTTGAACCGGTCTCTGAGAAGGTTCAAATTCAGAATGTTGACCATTCCAACAATCGTGAGTCAAATCAGATCCGAGGACTGGTTTGTCACGATAGATCTGAAAGACGCCTATTTTCACATCTCCATCCTTCCTTGTCACAGGAGGTACCTGAGGTTCGCTTTCGGGGCGAAGCATACCAATATCGGGTTCTTCCGTTCGGCCTAGCACTCTCTCCCCGCACATTTACCAAGTGTATGGACGTGGCCCTTGCTCCACTGAGACTTCAGGGGATTCGCGTATTGAATTATCTCGACGACTGGCTTATTTTGGCCCAGTCTCGGGAGATGGCAGTTCGGCATCGAGATGTCGTTCTTGGCCATATTCAAAAATTGGGGTTAAGACTCAATTTGAAGAAGAGTGTGCTAGAACCGTCCCAGGGCACGACCTTTTTGGGAGTCGTGTGGAACTCGATTACAATGCAGGCACGTATGTCTCCCGCACGTATCGAGTCAATTCTGGCGATGGTGTCCAGGGTGAGGCTAGGTCAGGCCGTCACTGTGAAACACTTTCAAAGGATGCTGGGCCTCATGGCAGCGGCATCCAACATTATTCCTCTGGGCCTCCTTCACATGAGGCCCCTCCAGTGGTGGTTGAAGACCAAGGGGTTCTCACCCAAAGGAAATCCGTTCCGTATGATCAGAGTAACGTGCAAGTGCCTTCAGTCTCTGCAAATATGGAAGAAGCCTTGGTTCCTATCCCAAGGGCCAGTGTTGGGGGTGTCATGTCGCCGGGAAACCGTTTCGACAGACGCCTCCCTTACGGGCTGGGGCGCGGTCATGGACGGCCGCTTTACCAGGGGTCTGTGGCAGGACCATCATCGCACTTGGCATATAAATTGCCTGGAGATGATGGCGGTATTCAAGGCTTTGAGGAGCTTCCTCCCAGACATCGAGGGTCGCCACGTCCTTATACGGACAGACAATACGTCAGTGGTGGCCTATCTGAACCGACAGGGGGGACTCAGATCGCGCCCTCTGTGCAAACTGGCGCATCAGATTATCCTTTGGTCCCAGGGAAAGATATTGTCAATAAGGGCAATGTATATCCCAGGGGTTCAGAATCGGGGAGCAGACATCCTGTCGAGGCAGGGGCTGAGGCCGGGGAATGGAGACTTCATCCGGATGTGGTGAAGTCGATATGGGAGAGGTTCGGACCGATGGAAGTGGATCTGTTTGCGTCTCGAGAGACGTCCCACTGTCCACTTTGGTTCTCCCTCTCACATCCAGCCCACTGGGGTTGGATGCCATGGTACAGGCTTGGCCGAGGCTTCGCCTGTATGCTTTCCCCCCGATCGCTCTGCTCCCAGGGGTCCTGGAGAGGGTCCGTCAAGAGGGCATCAGTCTACTTCTGGTTGCCCCGAGATGGCCGACACGAGTATGGTTCTCGGATATAATATCACTCCTCATAGCTCCGCCATGGCCGATTCCTCTGAGGAGGGATCTATTGTCTCAGGCGGAGGGCACAATCTTCCACCCTCGCCCAGAGTTGTGGAAGCTGTGGGTCTGGCCTCTGAGGGGGTTCAGTACCTAAATGCTGGCTTATCAGCTGAGGTGGTTGAAACCATACTTAGCTCTAGGCCCCATCTACCAGGAGATTATATGGCCTCAAGTGGAAGGTGTTTCACACTTGGTGTGGAGAACGAAGGTTGGATCCAGTAAACTGCCCAGTGGCTTCAGTTCTGGAATTCCTTCAGGATCGTTTCTCTGCGGGTCTCTCCCCGTCCACTCTTAAGGTGTACGTGGCTGCCGTTTCGGCTTTCCACGCGCCAGTAGATGGTGGACCTCTGGGGAGGCACCAGTTGGTCATTAGGTTTCTCCGTGGTGCTTGGAGGATGAGGCCGGCGATCAGGTCCAGGGTGCCTGCCTGGGATCTGGCAATAGTTCTGGAAGGGTTGTCCCTCGCTCCCTTCGAACCTTTAGAGTCGGCTTCGCCTAAGGACTTAACGTTGAAAATGGTCTTTCTCTTAGCGATTACCTCTCTTAAGAGGGTGGGAGATCTCCAGGCCCTGGCGGTAACGCCAGCTTGCTTGGAGTTTGCCCCTGGCAAAGTAAAGGCCTTTTTGCACCCGAGTCCGGGCTACGTGCCTAAAGTTCCTTCGAGTACGGCTCGCTCTGTAGTCCTTCAGGCATTCCATCCTCCACCTCATGTGTCGGCGGGAGAAGAGAGGCTTCACTTGCTCTGCCCCGTCAGAGCTTTGAGTGTATACTTGGAAAAGTCTGCTTCTTGGAGAAGATCTGACCAGTTGTTAGTATGCTTTGGGTCACCTAAGAGGGGGCTCCCGGCGACCAAACAAACTATAAGTAACTGGATTGTCCAGGCTATTACTGAGGCTTACAAGGTGCGTGGGGTTCCTTCACCTTTGGCCTTAAGGGCTCACTCGACTAGAGGCATGGCTTCCTCTAGGGCCCTTCTGTCGGGAGTACCTCTGCAGGAGATTTGTGAGGCAGCCGGCTGGGCTACCCCGCATACTTTCATCAGGTTTTACAGTCTCAGCCTTCCCAGTACGCCCGGTGCACACGTACTCGGCCCTTGCTGAGTGCCTAATCAGTTTCACTCTGGGGCGGGTCTGTTCGGTGCGTGGCCTAGTGGGTACTCGTTCCCCAAAGAGTCGATTTTATCGACGCAGTGTTGAGTTCCCTCGATAGGGAACGTCTCGGGTTATGACTATAACCCTTGTTCCCTGAGAAGGGAACGAGACACTGCGTCGTGTTGCCACGCCCCCTTTTCAGACCCTTGAGCGTCTTGCTTCATCGCGAGGCTAGTGTGTGTTGTGACAGCGTCACTTTTATACTTCCGGGTATGCCGTCACATGTTACGTCACGACGCAACACCAATCAGGATTGGATTAGTTTCATTCATACTTCAGAGGCGCACGCTTAGGGAGCGTCCCCCCAAAGAGTCGATTTTATCGACGCAGTGTCTCGTTCCCTTCTCAGGGAACAAGGGTTATAGTCATAACCCGAGACGTTTTTGATGAAAACATTCCAGGATTTTTCTCCATATAATGGACTTCAATGGGAACCAAACGGTTCAAGGTCCAAAAGACAGTTTCAGTGCAAAATGCAAACTGTTCAAAGGGCTTTAAACGATTCCAGATGATGAATAAGGGTCTTTTCAAGTGAAACGATCGCTCATTTAAAAAAAAAAAAAAAAAGTTTACGTTTTATAAGCTCAAATGCTCGCCTTGCTCTGTTAGGGTTAGGGTGTGATGCGCGTTTCTGACTCTATCATTCGAACATGTTCATCAAAATGAATGAATCTTTTCCTGAGTCAACTCATTCATTTTGTTCGTTGAATGAACCAAATGACACGAAAAAAGATTCGTTCATTTTGATTTGTCACAAACACGCATCACAGAACAGAGCAAGGCGACCATTTGAGCTTATAACACTCAAAACATTTTTTTTTTTTTTTTTTTTTTTTTAAATGAGCGATCGTTTTGCTTGATAAGACCCTTATTCATCGTCTGGAATCATTTAAAGCCCTTTGAACAGATTGCAGTTTGCACTGAAACTGTCTTTTGGACCTTGAACCGTTTGGTTCCCATTGAAGTCCATTATATGGAGAAAAATCCTGGAATGTTTTCATCAAAAACCTTCATTTCTTTTCGACTGAAGTAAGAATGACATGGACATCTTGGATGACATGGGGGTGAGTCAATTATCAGCAAAAGTTTTTTTAAAAGTGAACGACTAGACATGGTAAACGATTCTTCTGTCAAGTAATATAAAGTAGTTTTATACACAGGTGATGCTGTCTGTGTGAGGTAGATCAAAGAGTCATCCGTTACCGTAGCGATGCCGATTTTCTGCTGTGGCCCCACCCCACCATCCACGGCTCTTATGATCAGAATATACTCAGACTTCACCTCTCGATCCAGAAGAGCAGTAGTGGTGATCTCTCCTACACACACACACACACACACACACACACACACACACACACACAACACACACGTTGGGTTTTGATTTAAGGGGACTTTTCTGAGTACAAACTGTATATTCTATCCCCTTACCCTTTACCCCCAAGCCAGCACAGAAAACTTTCTGCAATTTTTACATA